TCTAGACGAATTTTTCTATTTGTCGCAGGATGAAATGCTCACTAAAAAATTTTTGTTTAGATGAACTCCTGTTCGTACAAGGACGAAATGCTCTCTATAAAAATTTCGTCCAGACAAACTTCAATTCGTCCTAGGACGAAATGCTCTCTAGAAAATTTTCGTTCAAATGAAATTCAATATTTGGCCCAGGATGAAATGCTCTATGTAAAAATTTTGTCCAGACGAACTCTAATTCGTCCATGAACGAAATGCTCTATGGAAAATTTTTGTTCAGATGAGTTCATATTCAGTCTAGGATAAAATGCTTTCTGTAAAAATTTCGTCCAGACGAACTCTTATTCGTCCCAAGACGAAAATGTTTTATCATTTCCAATTTTGATAACTTCATGCAGTTTGTCAAAACCGACCCATGGTATAACTGTTCATACCGGACGAACTTAGTTCGTACGGGATGATAATCGGGTACGAAGTCAGTTCGTACCAATATACATTGGGTTCGTATGCAACTGATTTAAGTAAGTTCGTCTAGGACGATCCACGATCGTACGTAACGATCCACTATGTACAAACTTGAAAATCAGTAATTTTTGGATGATTTTTTGTGTCTTTCCTATATAAAATCCAATTATAATTACCTCTTAATCTTTTTGCCTACTGATCTTCGTGCAAACTGAAGGGAGACTCAAGGAGTGAGTGTGAGAGAGTGTTTGAAGGAGGATTCTTACTACTAGAGCGTGAAAGATTCACTTGGTACTCAAAGGAAAGAATCTCTACTTGTGGTTTTTGATTACTTCACTCTTTTATCTCTTCATTCTAGATTCTTGTGAGAATATCTGTCAAGGAGATCCGGTTCTCTGCCGACACTTGGAGAGTGCGAACAGCCGAAGGGTTCTATGCCCACACTTGGAGAGTGTGAAAGGACGAAGGGTTATCTTCCCACACTTGGAGAGTGTAAAAGGAAGAAGGGTTCTCTGCCTACACTGGGAGAGTATGAAAGGACGTACGGTTCTCTGCCAATATTGGGAAGAGTGTAAAAGGATGACGGTTCTCTGCCGCACCGGATAGTGGTGGAAGAGAGTTTTGTAAAGGCTTCTCCGCCTTGATGTGGGTTCAAAAGAAGAGTCACTAGTGGTATTAGTGCAATACTTGGAGGGTGCCTCTGGGGAGTGGATGCAGGTCGTGTTTGGTTGAACCACTATAAATCTTGTATCTTTTTATTTTCCGCTGCCTTTTATTTTACTATTTAACTTGTGGTTGAAAAACTTTTTTCTATAAAATTCATTAAAGTAAATTTTAGGTATAAAATTTTAAAAGAGGGTAAATTTTTAATTATCAATTCACCCCCTCTTGGTTAGCCACTGGGACATAAGCTTAGGTTTAACAACCTAATTCATATTTAACAAGTTTCAACAATAGTCATTACATAATCACTCAATCCTTCACATAGAAAAAACTAAAAATAAGAGTAGCATTCACTCGCATATAAAAATACATGATTTTTCTTATTCTTAGTTCTTCTCATCCATAAAATTTTAATCTATGACCATTAACCTTGAAGATATGAAAAGTTTGTTTATCTTGAATCCTTATGACACCATTAGGATATGTTCTAATGAGAGTAAAAGAGCCACTACATTCAAATTTAACTTTTACATAGCAGTATTTCTTTCCTATTAAAAAAATATAAGATATATTGACCACGAGAAAACTCATGATCTAAAACTCCACATACATGCATTTCTTAATCTATGTATTATAGATTTTGTATCCTCATAAACTTCATTTGTGAATTCATGAAACTTAACAACAATTGTAGAACTTTGGATGTTTATAATACAAAAGGAATCTTCATTCTTTAAGTGTGCTTCACTTCTTTTTTAGGATGAATACTTTCATTTCTTTCCACCAATTTCTTAGAAAAAAAAATCTAAAAATGAAAGGAATACACTCGCAAATACCACACTACAAAAGGATTGATGGGGATAAAAAAACAGCTATTCAACTTATCCTTTTTATGAATTTAACAGGTGCAGAAGCACCAAAATTTGAATTTTAAAATGATGCGACACAACCAAGCATATCGGCACTACAAGCAGTGCTGCGACACCATTTCATCTCTCTTAGTTTTTTTTAATCATTATAAAACAAATGACTACTACTGTTAAATCTTATCTACCAAGCACAGAACAAATTAAAAGTTGGGTTGGCTCCCATATAATGCTAAGTTTATAGTCTTTAGCGAGACTTGCCAAGATTTATCAATTTGGTTGGGTTACGTTGCTAGCAATCCTCAAATGATTATCACTTGGATCATTTTTTTTCCTTTGGGTTAACTTCAATATTTCTTGGCAATGATCCAAGAGGTTTATTACTGACTAAAATTGCAAGCTGACTTAATTGGGTTTCCAAATTTTTAATTGAAGCAGTTTGATTTTATAATTGAGTTCCTAATTGCATTACTACATCTTCCAATAGTGATTTTTTACTTCCAAATTGATTATTTTGATTAAATCCTTGATTATATGTAGTTCTAGAATTAATAGCAGATTGTTGAGGATTGTTCTAATTATATATATTGGAGTAGGGATTATTTTTTATTCTAAGTAAATTAACATTTTTTGAAATAGTTATTTTTATTTCAGTTTCAAACAATAAAGGTTTCTTTCTATGTTTAAAACATGCAACCATTAACATGCAATAAACAAGTAAAATAAAAGATATAAATAAGTATAATTATGCAATTAATTCAATAATATAGTTAAAATCTACAAAAAAACAAAATACTTCCCCGACAACGACACCAAAAACTTGATGGGGGATGTGGATTGAACTTTTGAATTATATAAAAATCTGTGGCTCCATCACCCCAAAATAATGCTTAGATTTTCTTTGATATAAATAATAATAAACCCCACTTTATATAAGTAATTATACATGCCGAATTAAATAATAAAGTGATATAAGTGTTGAACCCACATGGAAGTACCGAACTACTACTATTTATTCTAATTGTAATAATTATCCTACTGAAATAAAAATGATAATTTTGGAGATTCTATCACTAAATAAAATAGTAAAAAAAATATTTTATATAATATTTAATTAAGGTATTTTGGTTTGATGAATTGAAATTGCATATTTTTCATAATGAGACTCTTCATGGTAATATGATTCAGAGCATATGCATATCCCTAGATCTCTATCGAGCTTGTTTGGGTGAAAAAGGATATATGCTGATCTCCTACAGTTATAATATCTCCTTAAGAATCTAGAATATTTTACATCCAATGTCTAAACATGTAAATATCTTATCTCAATATTCTTGGTTATTCTTGCATTCCTTCGTTGAGGCTATATATCACACTAAATTAAACTACACATGGTGACTATGTACATTAAATAATGAGCCAAATAATATTGAAGACGTCTTTTAACTGTTATAGAATAAGAGTCTTCATTAGTACTTAACATACATTTTATATCATCAATCTAAAAAAAAAAGAGAATTAGCTAGAAATTAAATGAATAACTAGCAAACTCATTTTCATTAAATTCATGGAAGAATGAAAATGAAAGAGAGTGACATCACCATGAATGATCAAAGTATCTCCTCCATGGTCATTCTCTCTTTAATTTACAAAGTTGCTTCAAGAAACACAAGCTAAATACTCCAAATGATTATATCTTATACTTCCCTAGCCTCCCTTAAATTTTACTCTAAAAGGAAACTAGAGATGTACTTTAAAAAGTACTGAATTTAATATAAGTGACTAAACTCGCTTACATATATAATATCACAACTATTTATAGAAAAATATAAAAAGGCATCTGTTGTTGCAATGCTTGAAATAATGGTGCTGAAACGCCTTTGAAGTGAACTAGCATTGAAGCTTTTGAACTATCGCGATGCTTGTATATGTGGATTGGTTAATTAGTGAATAGTAACATCTCTTCATTAATAGAATGTAGCCCTTAGAAGTTACAACTGCAATGCCGCGATGATGTAGACATTTGAGCATTGTGGCGCCCAAGTGCAAAAAATGGCGCCAATACATAAGAAATTATGGTGATGCGACATTTGAAAATAGAGAATCCAATGTTACCAAGCTAACTTTTTTACGCCACTTTGCTAATAATGTTGCGGCTCTATCTATGTTATTGTGGCGCTTGCAAACATAGATGAATACTGGAGCTTCTTGTCATTCAAAATGTTATTTAAGTTTTACTTCATATAAATGAAAGGAAATATGTTTTTTTACTAAAGAAAAACTTAAAAAGGATTTACTGACGAGAGATGATTATGTCGAAGGGGGCACATGTGTTTGAAATCAAGGGCCGCATGGGTCTATCGAGGAAATACATTGTCGATCAAAAGGAGGAGAGTTTTACACAAAAGGATAATGCTCTACTATGTTTATGTGCATGAGAGGCTACATACATAGGGCAATTTCTAATAAGATTAAATGGGAAACAAAGTGATATATTTAATGTCTTAAAACATTTTAAGTAAATAGAGTTATTATATATATATATATATACTATAAATTTTCTCATATAATTTTTTTTAAGCCAAGCAAAATGCATTAAAACTGGAAAAGAAAATAACAAAACAACCTTTGTGATAGAAATCCTATCACAATCATTCCTTATCAAGTCAACAAAACCTGAAGGAATTTCACTAAAAACAAAAGAATCCAAAAAAAAAAAACTACTTGGAGGGCATATTTAGAACAAGCATCAACTATCCCATTTCTCTCTCTATAAATAAAATGAAACTTTACATAATGAAAAACATCTAAAAAAGGGAAATCTAGCCTTAGAATCTTCATCCAATTATTGCTTCTCATAAAAGAATCTTGCAAAAAAGTAATAACATTTTTACCTTCTATAATAATATTAAACTTATCCATTATCCAATTTTGAATAACATTTTTGAAATAAAAAATAGCTAACAACTTCATTAAGGAAATGTCCCAATGCTTCGACCTCTTTGGCATAAGCTAATAGTAAATTTTCACAGATACTTGAGTGTGAAAAAAAAGGCAAACGAATCCAATCTACCGAGAGAGAGAGAGAGAGAGCGAGCGCCAGTGAGCGAGCACGCGATTGCCGTTCTCTTTCGTTCCAAACAGCTGCTCGATTTCTGGATTCCTTCAACCTTTTTTCAAGCATTAATCCTTGCCATGACAGATAGAGAGAGCGCGATGGCCGGTGCTACCTCTCTGGAGATCTAGCAACCGTCTCTCTGGAGTTCCCCTTCCAAGACAGCGGCGCGGTCTGACACTTGTTCTCGCAGCAGTCTTTTCCGTTTAAGTCTCCGTCGTGGTTCCATGCGCTGGCGGGTAATCCTCCCCAACCATTTAGCTGCTATCTCTCTTAGTGGATTAGGACATTCATAAGAGTATTAGAATATGTACTTTTCGCACTTGCATGTAAAAGTAATCATTGCATTTACGCTGAAAGGTTTATCCATTGACATTTTAGTGTTATAATGGTAACCTTTTCGTATACCAGCTAGGACTGTTTGGAAAATCTTATGTTCTGCTGCATCGATGGATCCATCTAGATCAGAGTTGCGGCGTATGCACCGATCCGTATTGTTTTATTTGGATTGATGGAAACTTAAGGAAATAAAATAAAACGCAAACACTTTGTGGTTTGGTTATGTGTCTACAGCAATTGATTGGAGTTTCAACCTTTTTTTAAGATATCGTTTCACCCATCTCAGCATCCAAACATAGCACCATACATGTTTCTAGACTATGAACTGTATTGAAAGAGTTATATTGTTTGGGTGTTTTTGGGAATCCCTAAAAAATGATGGCTATCCAAAGTTTTACCAGTTGATTTTGGCTTGTTTGCTGGGGGTATTTCCATTCTATTTTTCTTGATGAAAATGGTAGTTGTTAGAATGAGGGTGAAGGTTGAGATATAATGTGCATTCTCATTAGTCCTCAATGTAATATGTAGCTTCTCTTTCTGTATGATTTCTGCGCTGTTGTTGTTCTTAAAATTGTTTGAATTGTTTAAGGGATACGAGCGGTCGCTCGTTGTTCTTAAAATTGTTTGAATTGTTTAAGGGATACGAGCGGTCGCTCTGTGAAGGTTACTTATTACTTGTATTAAAGCCATTAAAGAACTTGCATCTTGTGATGAATACTTCCAAGGCTTTCTACAAAGTTTGACATGTACATAGAAAATAAGCAATCCATCCAGAGGAATTGAAACATCATTACCATATTTAGAATAAGATTTCCTACTCAATTTCTAATTACCTTTTCATGATTCTTCTTCTTTGTTAGTTTCATATTCTTCTTGTTCATTTGATGAATTATGAGTACCTTGTCTAGTCAATAACTTGAACGAATTATTGTTGGAATTTGAATTAAAATAATAATGTTTGTTCTGCTGATGAGATAATGAAACACTAATATATTTCAATAATGGAACTCTAATAGATGGCACTATTGAAACCATAAGTTAAACGTCATATCATGCAAATATACTTATCATTTTTACTTGTTCAACTGAATTACATATCAATGATCAAGTAATGACTGATGCCTGATGGAATCACAATGCTGAAATGAGCAATGATCATTGCTTTGGTATTATGACCAATGATATGTACAGGATGTGAGATAAGTTTATCCAAGCTGACTGTTAATAACATTTTTTTATTTTTATCTTTTACTTTTAACATAGCTGCTGCTTATCTTTGATAAACATAAACTTAAAGAATTTTGTGCAGTGAGGGAAAAATATATGACATTTACATTACATATATATTTACATCATAATATACTACATTGAGATAGATTTTATGATGGTTATCATCGCAAACAACCTTAAAAATAGTAGTAATTTAGCATATGTACTTCAGGTATACATGAAACTTGACTTGATTGATTATTTACAATTAAGTTTTGTGAAATATTCATCTGATCCTGTCAATACTTGGCCGGATCAAGCCTGAAATTGTCATATGAGGAAAACTGTCACACTATTTTGGTAGAAAGAAACTTGTTAGTTTGCAAATGTTGGTTTCTTGGCACTCTCTCACTCTTTTGACCAATCTAACTTCAGATTGGTTGCGTGGAAAATACTTTATAGTGATTGTAATGACTTAATTCATGTAAAAGGTTGCTGTTTATTATATATTTACCCATAGGAAAAAAATCAATTGTTTCAATTTCTTCATTTTAAGGAATGTACTTTGATTGAAAAATTACCTTAATATTTAAAAATGAAGAAGTCCAACAGCTGTCACTTTAAAAGCTGAGTGATTTTCTTTGTAGTTGAAATATAAAACATGATTAACCTCTAGACAAGTGGTGAAGTGTTATATTACTTATTGATGAGGACATCATTTAGAGATTCAAACACGTGTACCGGCGACAGAATTGTAGATCGAAGGCTACGATTCAGCGTCTCTACTTTTGATGCATTATGTTTTATTTAGTTTTGTTGTTTTCCGAATTTACCCCTATGGGGAAGTGTTTTGTCATTGTAGCCCAGAGGGCAATTGTGTACTTTTCTTTTTTTATGTTTGAGACCTATATATAGTGGTCCTTTGTGTTATAATAGGATGTGACTGATTAATGAAAATTCAGATTTCTCTTTGTCTCCCTCAATGTTGAGTGTTTGAGAGAAGAAGGTAGACCCAAGGTGTGGGCAATCGCAATACTCGTCAACCTTTGGAAGGGTCCAAGGTTCGTAGATCTACTTTTTGTTCATTGCTTCTCCTCCAACCTCTCCCCCCTTTCTCCCACCCGCAGCCGGCTTGCTCTCTCTCTCTCTCTCTCTCTCTCTCTCTCTCTCTCTCCCACCACTCCCTCTTTGTTCCCTACCCGACCACCATCCCAACCTACTGCCCCACCTTAATCTTTCCCGCCTCCACCCTAGCTCCACCACCTCTCCTCCCTTATCACCATATCACCGGCCATACACCACCCGCCCCTTACTCACCATTAACTAAATTGAAGACTTTCCTAATTTAGGTAGCCAAATTTGGAGGGATTTTAAAATTCAAATTCAAATTGATTTGGATTAAGTTCTTTCATAATTTCCTACCCTAATTAGGCAACCCCTCAATCCTCTCAAATCTGAAATTAATTTCAAATTTTCCATTTTATTTATTTAATTACTTGGGCCCACAATCCAAGTAATTAAATCTCCCCAAATCCCTCCCTATAGGGCCGGCCACCTCTTCTCTCTCCAATTCCATTAATTGGAATCCAATTAAGGATCCAATTAATTAAATCTCTCTCTCTCTCTCTCTCTCTCCCCCACACACACACACACACAAAATTCCCTCCCAACCTCCTTTTATTTCTAAGAATTTAACTTGGGTGAAACATAAGTTACTAATTAGCAACATTCATGTTCAATAATTATTGTTACAATCCAAAGCAACTCTTCCGCATGTATGTTTCACATCACTTATCCCTCAAAGATTTTTTCAATTGTTCCAAACCCCGCAAAATGAAAATGAAGCCAGGTAGTCATGGCTAAAGCAAACTATGATAACTGTTCACCCTTTGAATAGACCTGTCAATTTCGGGTTACGGGTCGAACCCGACCCGACCCGTAACTGACCCCGATTTATTCGGGTTCGGGTCAACCCGACCCGGTTTTATAAACGGGTCGGTTTTCGAAACCCGAAACCGACCCGTCTCGGTTTCGGGTCAACCTGACCCGACCCGGTTAACCATATATACAGTAATTTTAAGTATAATTTAAGGAAAAAAAAAGAGCTAAAGTGCAAACAACAAACTGCAAAATAGCAATTATATATTTAGAGAAATACTAATTTACAAATTGTCAAATTACAACAATACAACCCATCATTTACACATTTGTTTTAGTTACAAAATTACAAACTTAATTCAATTTTAAGGAAATACTTATTTACAAATTTACAACCTCAACACTCAAAATTCAAATTCAATACTTATTTACAAAATTTCAACATTCAAAATTCCGACCTCTATCACACTACAATCCTGCTGATTTGCTCCCCTCGTCTCCTCGAAATAACAGCTTCAAATCTGCAATGACCTGGAATAAAATCAATTATATAGTTTGCAAACTCAAATAGACAAATATGTAAAAAAAATATTGCTCTGCTCAGATTAAACCTTCAGATTCATTAATCATTTAACCTCATAATGAGATCAATGTGATGTACGATGTAAGTTTAATCAATATTGTCATATTGACAAATTACCATCCTAAGTGACAATTTATATTAACTTAATATCTGTTCTTCGAATAAGATTGTAAGATAGTATCTGCTATTCTAAGTTAATAAAAATTGTCACTTGGTTGTAAATTGTAATACTACATAGGATGATAAGAACTTACAGTTATAAGATTCCCAATTTCATCTTAGAAGGTTATTCATCATCGCTTCATTGCAATTTTCAACTTCCAAAATCCGATAGCAACGGCCAACGCCCAACAGGTTACAGACTTATAGAGTTACAGACTTAAACAGAAGTTACAGAACTACAGAAGAAGCCTTACAGAATTTTGAACCAAAGTCCCACACAAAGCCTCAGGCCCTCAGCCCTCACCCCTCAGGCCCGAGAACTGAACCAAGCAGAAACAGCCATAAACTGAACCAAACACCAGCTAGCAACGGGTTACAGACTTACAGCAGCCAACAAGGCAACAA